AAAGGAGTTAAGGTAATGTTAAGTATGCAAGCAAAGCAGAGGTGTGGAGAGCACAGATAAGTGAGTATTGTCCTTGGAAAACAGGTGGTCAGTTTATTGCAAGGACTGTGAACAACCATCACAGAGCACCTCAACAGGTCAGGACATGACTAACACACCAGTAAATGAATGAATGAGTGAATGGACAAATATATTAGAACTTCAACTCGGAGAGATACCTATTTAATAACACTGATTTCTTTCTTTTTTATTCCAGCAAGAGCAATAGGTTCTGTGACATTTCAAAGAGTTTAGTTGGGATAACTCACTTGTTTTAAGCCGAAATATCCCCATAAAACGTGAGTTGAGCTACTGCAACCCCCTTCTGGCTAAATTCCTTGAGGAAATTTCTCATCATTTCCCACCACTGGAATTTTCAAATGCTATGCATTAATTGCATGGGCCAATTAGTGTGAAATTCAATTTGTTATAATGTGATTGAGGCCACTTAATAAACTTGATATGTCAGCCTCAGGTTTGGGGACAATTAAGAGAAATTCACAGTGTGAAGACATTTCAGTACCTGTTCGGAATGAAGAGAAATATTTAATGCCCAATTCCCTAGTCCATCCTTCAGAAACAGAAAGGGATCGTTACATCACAAACAAGTTCGTATGACAGTGATTGTTACAGAAAAAGCAATTAAGGCCAATTGTCTCTATCATGATATCAAGGATTTCCCTCTCCTTTCCTCCCTCCAGCAAGGATTTATACAGCCCCACTCTCACCCAGGTTGGTATACTCTCATCATGCACTTGGTGGTTTGGATGCAAATATGAGACTCTTCCTCTTAGAGGAGTTGCAGCCTAGTGGGAAAATACTCACAACAAAGGTTTGCTCACGTAGAGTGATGAGTGCTAAACTAGTGGGGGAGGGGAGGGAAGGGGTGTTACTAACTTGGACTGGAATTATTAAACTTTTTCAAACAAGGATTGTTCTTCAAAATAATCATTATGGGGAAAAAAAGAATACATGTCTCAACCATGTTTAATCACTTGAAATATTTTAGACTTTCCTCTTCACAGAATATTTGCAGGTTATTAAGAAATGATGATTACCTTCCATTTTTATCAAATTATACTAACTAGCTCGGTGCTTTCCCAAATATATTTCCTTGAATATTTTCTATATCGATGGTCCATGAAACATGCTTCCATGGTCAAATGAATTTAAGAAAAAAAATCTACATATGCTCTCCTCTTATTTGGTGCACATTAGCAGACCCACCTCTATGAGAAGCCCTGCTTTAAAAACAAATTTAACTTTGTAGGCCAGTGCTTCGCCAGCTTACTCTATGTCATCAGCTCTAAGACACCATCTATAATAAGATGCACCATTAATTTACATGGAAGTTACGTAGAAAAAAAATTGCCAATTAAGCTGAGACTGGATGCTCTCAACACTTGAAAGAATTTTTATTTTACATTTATTGAAGAAACTCTTTAAGAATTATTTAAAGATTTTATTACATATTATTCCCGGATATATATGTATATAGGAAACAACTCATTTCAGGAATTTCTAAAACAAATCCTAATTCTTCTGAGTCCCTTTTTATCTTAGCGTTACGGATACCACACTTCCCCACACAACGCCATTATCTGCACCACCAAGGTTATGCTGTTGTTTTAAGCCTGCTTCATTATCGTCTGCACGATTTTCATCCAAGCGACAGACACCTGTTCCTTGAGTGTTGTTGTCTTTGTGTAGGAAAAACAAGCACATCAAAACTACCACCTAGATAATGGTGATAGTAAGGTGCATTTTAATTTCAGAGATGTTAAAATTTGCAAGAAAACACTAGTGTGTTATAGAATCAGTGAAAAGCATCATATCCCCACAAGGCTCCCTGCTCCTTCCATGGAATGAGGCTTTTCGGAAAGTTTTGAAAAAGCTGACCTAGCTCGCTTGATCAGAGTTGGATGGAAGCTAACGACAGCCCATCTTCTGTAAAAGAAATATGTGATCACCCTCCATCAGAGCAGCAGGAAACGTAAGGAACTCCGAAGGCAGTGCCTGGAGGGCAGCACGCACAGTAATTGTGAGTGCGGGACCTGCAGCTAGTCAGCCGCAGTTTACTCTCGTGTGTGGCCACTTACTCGCTCTCACGTTATGGGAAAATTGCTTAATCTCTTCTAAGTGTCCATTTCCTCATCTCTGAAGTAGGGATAATAAGGACACCTATCATTTAGACTTACTCTGAGGCTTAAGGTTGAAAAAAAAAGCTTATAAAACCCTTAGCACCATCAGGAATCAACACATTTTATACAATGTTATTATTTTCTCAGGCATTCATGATGACAAGCAACCACCTTCCCCGATTTAGCTCTGAAAGAATCCTGGCTATTTCTGAAAATTAAAATTGACTCTTAAAGGATTAGTACTTTCTCATGCAAAGAAAGGATTAGTACTTTCTCATGCAAAGAAGTTCCCAGCAACATGCTACAGGGTCTGATGACAATTGTTTTAAAGAGGACTTTTGGCCATGGCAGCATTGTCAAAATAAGCACATGACCTCCCACATGCCTACTAGGAAAGCAATTAGACTCATCTGCAAAACGCAGCTCTGGTGTGGTTACTACCACATCCCTCTGCGATGAAGGTAAACTGGAGAGAAAACGGGTGCCCTGTTTCCCACGTTCCATTTCTCTCACCTCCTAGGTTCAATCAATTTGATAGTTTTATGGGTGACAGCACGGGAAGTTAATTGATCTTTCTAAGCCCTGATTTCATCTGTAAAATAAGGATGATTAAAGTGCCTACCTCATAGGGTTGTTGGGGCATTCCATAATACAACACATGAACACATTTCCAGCACACAGTAAGCACTGAATAAATGGTGGTATTATTCTAAGCATCATTATTGTTAGCATTAGCATCATTCCATTAATTTCTTACTGGAAAAAAATCATCACAAACTTGGTGGCTTAAAACCACACAACACCATGTGGGATCCATTTCCAACTAATTACATCACAATGTCTGGGGGCAGAGTCTAGGCTCTGTATTTTTGAAAGGGCTCCCTCTGTGATTGTATTACGCAGCCAGCACTGAGAGCCACAGCTCTACACCATGTCACTACAATAGTAGTTTATGTACATAGCGCTGTGACTGTCATTCTCCACTTAAAATCCCTTCACAACGTTTTTGATCATTTGCAGCGGAAAGTAGAAGCTCTGTACTGGCTAGGAAGTCCCTCTCTGACTCACATGTACCTCTGCACATTTGCTCCCACTTATTGTCACCTCACACACAATATACACTTTTAATATCTCAGCACTTACATCCACACCCAAGCATGGGCTGCTGCCTGGGTAGATGCTGCCTTCCCTGCCTCCCTATCCCAAGTGAACCCCAAGATGCCCCTACTTTTTAAAAATGTAATAATTATTGAACAAATTCAAAGGATTTATAAAATATGTTTTAAAAAGTGTGAAATATAAAGAACAACAATAAAACAGCCATGAAATCATACAAAGATATGCTTCTGTTCTCGGGTGCTTTTACCACCTTCCTTCCATTAAGTCCCGATTCTCTCATTAAATAAATAAGAAATTCATAAAATTCTAAATCACATATTTGTGGCAGGTATGCATGTGTCCTTTACCCACCAACTCATAATCATATATGTAAAAATGAACACATTTAAAGAAAAATAAAATAAAACAGTGAAAAATAACACACCAGGCAAATGTGGCTGAAAGAAACATGGTGTAGCAACATTAATTTCAGATTAAATAGAACTGAAAGCAAAAACTCATTACAAATGAAATTTTATCTTATATGTTGGCTGATAAAAGGAACAAAAGATCCAAAAGATATGCTAATAATGAATATATTGCCACATTATACACTATATACATAATCTCTGACAGCAATTGATGAACTATGAAGAGAAATAGCTAAATCAGTAGTTGGAGATTTGAAAGCCTGTGTTTCTGAAACAGACAGCTCAAGGAAACAAATTAAAAATTCATATATATGATAATTAATAACTGAGCCAAAAGATACATCAGCAACTTTATAACCAGTGAGCACACTTTTTCTTTTTCAAGCAAATATGAAACATTCATACAACTCAATCAAGTACTGAGTCACAAGAAAGAAAAAAGCCCCAGTAAATTGCAGTAAATTATAAAGAAGCACTATCTTAGAGAGTTTTCCAACTATTATTCATTAAAATTAAGAATCAAAAGCAAACGTAAAGTCTTACAGAAGCCCCAAATATCTGTAAACCCAAAAAACATACAACTATGCAGCACTTGGTTTAAAGACAACTTCATAAGTGAAAGTACTAAATTACGGCTGAGTGGGTATAGAAGAACTCCACATCAAAATGTCTGGGAACCAGGGAAGCAAGTACTGTGAGGCACGTAATATATCCTAAAAAAAATATTTACTAGACGACAAGAAAGGCTATAAATAAGTGAGCTAAATATTCCCCAAAATACTGGGGGGGAAAAGGAGAATAAGCCCAAAGAAGTAAGAAAAAAAGAAGTAATGAAGATGAGGACAGAAATGAATAAAGTAGAGAAAAAATATAGGTAACACATTTCTAGCACATACTGTATGCTGAGGGCTGTTCTCAGTATTTTACATACAGTGACTCACTCAATCCTCACAACACCCTTAGATACAGGCAGAATTACTCCTCATTTGACAGATGAGTAAAGAGTGCACAGAGAGATTGCGTAACTTTCCCAAGATCACAAAGCTGATGAGGAGCAGAGATTGACTTCCATTCTCTACTTGTCTCAACTGTGCTCTACTAACCCAGAGGCTGATTTTTCTTTTCTAGAGATCTCCAAAGTAGATAAACTTCCAGAAAAACTGATCAAGGGGAGAGAAAGAGATGAGACAGAGAGAGAGGGAAAGCATTGATGTTTTTAGGCAGGGTAATTAAGGATAGCTGACAACAAAATCCCAAATCTCATTGGCACAGCATAATAAATGCTTTTTACCTGCTTTCATCACAGTCGTCGGACAGTCAAATCCAATTCTCTTCACACAGTGATCAGGGGTCCACAAAGCTGCAGCAGAAAAAGAAAGAGAAGGATGAGGAACACCAGCTCTTTATGCCCTTGATCTCAAAGGACCACTCTACTCATCTTTGTTTTGGACCCACCAATTGTAACATGTCCTCATCCTCAATGAAAATGAGGGAATGTAGGAAAACATGCATTGTTTTGGTGAATACTAGCAACCTCTGCAATTGTTGGAAGAGGTCATTGAGAGGATATGACCATTGGTTGACCTGCATGATCTGACCCGAGTAATTGGAGGCTCCTCACCTCCTCCCCTGTCCTTGGAAAGTATATTCTACCCACTGGTCTCAAAGTGGGCATCATTTTTAAGGACACAGTCTTGAGAGAGCATGGTTGTTGAGACCCTCTGGACAGTGAATGTGACTGAACCCTGTTAAGACTTCTCTGTAAACTTTTAAGATTCTCGCAGACAGGTGTGTAGATCTTGCAGCCTCCCAAGACAAGCTTTGTATGTAAATTTTCTTGCTTACTAAACCTGCCACCTATCCATCTGCAGTGATCTGTCTCTTGTTTTTGGTCTCTCCCTTCCCTCCGTGTATAGGGGCCATATTTTGCAAACCAACAACTATAAATACAAAAAAGGTAAAAAGACTACAAAGAGACGTTTTTAAAATGTATTATTTTTAAAGGAACGTTTGTAAAGCTATTCAATAATAAATTTGACAGCCTGGCTGTAACAGACAAATTCCTGGGAAAAGATCAAATGTCAAAACTGGAACAAGAGGAAATCATATAAGGTAAACAGCCTCCTGCCCAACAATAAAGCCCTTGAATCAGCTAGAAATTGGTCTCTCAGCTCCAAATCCTCCCTCAATTGCTTGCTTTGTGATGCTGGAGATGGACCCTGTAAACATTTCTTCTTTCCAGCTTTTCCAGAGAGTCTCCCAGACCCCCCAGTAGGTGGTTTCTTGAGTTTCAGCAGAAATCCAAGGCTGACTTCCCATCCAGTTCCATCAACATAACCCCAGAAGGCAGCTTCCTGCAACTTTGCACACCCTGGTAGGCAGTTTCCACATTATCAGCCTGGTCCTATGGAACCTAAGTAACTTCTCCACTATCCAGAGAGCTACAGTCACACCCTCTCCAACAGAGCCTAAATCTCAACCTTTGGTGGGGGCGAGGGATCCCTTTTCCAAGTGTGTTTCCCCTTGGGTACTCTGCCTCAGTCATGGAATTAAACTGTCTATACGCATGCTACTTCTGTGTTCCTTAGAGTTCCTTGTGGCTATTTAATAACTCCTCTTATTCCTTTTTCTCTTCAAATTATGATTTCTGTTCTCGGAATGGACACTCTCTGATACCATCCAAGACACAGGCAGTTTTAAAAGGACATTTCACCAAATCTCAAGGCACAGATAATACATTTTATACAAGGTATCCAGAACAAAGATAAAAAATAAAAAATAATTTATGATTCTAGTGCAAACTAGCTTCTCAAACTAGATTAGGATAATACACAAATACATAATTCTATGTCTTTCAATAGATAAATGGAAAAATAGTCTATTGTACATCCAGAGAATGGGATATTTTTTAGACAATGGGATATTTTTAAGTGATTAAAAAATGACCTATTAAGCCAGGAGAAGACACACAGGAACCTTAAATGTATGTTGCTAAGTGAAAGAAGCCAATGTGAAAAGGCTATAAACTGTTTGATTCCATCATAACTGTATCATATTCTAAAAAAAACAAAACTATGGAGACAGTAGAAGACCGGTGGTTGTTAAGGTCTGAGGTGGGGGAATGGATGAATAGACGGAACACTGAGGTTTTTTAGGGCATGAAACTATTCTGTATGATACTGTAATTGTGGCTATATGTCACTATACACCCGTCAATACCTATGGGATGTACAGCACCAAAAGTACACCTTGATGCAAACTACAGACTCTGGCTAGAAATGATGTGTCAATAACGGCTTGTCAACTGTAGTAAGTGCAAGGTGCTAATAACAGAGCAAATTGGAAGAGTGGTGAGACAGTACCTAGGAGCTCTCCGTAATTTCTGCTCAGTTTTTCTGAAACTTAAAAAAAGTTTATTTAAAAAACCCCTCAATTTCATACCTACCTCACTTATGAATATAATTGCTAAAATCTTAAAACAAATATTAAACAAACCTAGTATTATTTAAATAACTATACAATGATGAAGTAAGGTTTATATTAAGAATTTTATGTGATGAATCAGCATAAGAAAATACGTTTATACAGTTTACAAATTAAATGCTAAAAGGAAAAAGAATTACCTCGTCCTATTAGTAGATTCAGAAACATACAAAGTTCAGCGCCCGTTTATGACAAAAACTATCACAAACCAGATTAGAATCTCTCTTAACATCACAAAAGCTATATCCTCAAAGTTGGCAGTAAACATAATTCTTAATGGAGAACATTAAAAAAATTGGAGAAACATAAAAATGTCTTTATACAGGAAGGGTATAGTAATTCACATTGCACATCAGGCAGAATCAACAAACTAACAGAACAAGAGTTCATCAAGCTTTCTGAACATAGAAAAATCAATAGCATTTTTTTCTTTCGGCAAGAAGCAATTAGAACAAATAGAAGAAAATAAGAAACCATTTAAAAAACCATAAATATGTAGAAATTAACCTAATAAAATGCACAACATCTTAGAGAAAACTTGAGGACCCCATTAAAAGTCATTAAAATAGACCTGAATAAATGGAGAGATTACAACCTCCGTGGAGGGTTTGACTTAACTTTGTAAAGATGTCAATTACCTCCAAAATTTTTCCTTTAAATTTCACCAGCACTGACTGCTGGATCTTTCCTCCAAACTTCACCCTGGATGAACTATGAAAGAGGGAGCGAAGCATGGATTTGAGAATCTGATAACTACAACTACAAAACAAACAAAAAAATTGTAAGAAACACATTTGAAGACAAAAGAGGACTGATGATTTAATATGGATGGAAACTGGCAGTGTGGGTAATTTTCACCTATACCCCTTACATCCCCCACTCTCCTGGGTAATTTTGCTTAGCTGGCTTCAAGAGGCTACAAATAATGACTGAGCAATAAAAGAAAATCATGATTTCACTTCATTTATAAATGATCAAAACAGGAAAATCTGAAATACTATATTAGGTGATGAAATTCTACATTTTTTTCAAAAGAATATATTTCATAATGTAACTCAGCAGCAGTGTACAACATCTTCATCCTTCTGTTGATCTCTCCATCTTTATGTATTTTTTTTTCTTGGCTTCAAGGGCACCGTTTTCTCTTGATTCTCCTCCTACTCAAAAATGTATTCCTTCTCAGTCTTTTCTGATTTCTCCCTACTTGCCAAATCTTTAGCATCGGAGCCCACCAAGACTCTGTCATCAACCCTCTTCTCTATCTAAACTCATTCCCCAGGTAATCGCAAGCATTCCTATAACGTGAAATGCCATCTGATCACTGAAGATTTCCAAATTTAGATCTCTACCTTAAACTTGTCCTCTGAACCCTAGATACATGTATGCAATTGCCTACTCTATATTTACTTTTCAATGTTTAATGTTTAATAATGTCCTTAATTATCCTAAATCATAATCTTGATCTTCCTCCCTCTACCTGCCCAACAACCTAATGAACCTTCTCTTGCCTTCTTCACTTCATTAAATACCAGTTCCACTCTTCTTGGTGCTCAGATCTAAACCATGCGGTCATTTATAATTCTACTTTCTCTAATAACCTTTATCCAATCTATCAGAAATTCTGTTTAATATGCCGCCAAACATACCAAGAACTGTACCACTTTGCACCACCCCACATTAATCACTTGTTCAAGAATTAATAATGTCTTACTTGAAAAAAAGGGCTCCTAACCAATCTCCTTGAACTCACCCCTTAAAACTATTCTCTACATCACAGCTAGAGGGTTAATTTTTTTTTTTACACTTTTATAGACTTTATTTATAGACCAGTTTTAGGTTTACAGGAAAACTGAGCAGGAAGTATAGAGAGTTCTCCTATATCCCACACCCCACATATGCACAGCCTATCCCACTATCAACACCGAACACCAGAGTAGTACATTTGTTACAATTAATGAACCTACATTGGGAGTCATTTTTGGTGCTGTACATTCTCTAGGTGCTGACAAATGCAAAACAACATGTATCCACAATTATAATACTAAACAGAATAGTATCATTGCCTTAAACATCCTCTGTGTACTGCCTATCCATCACTGACGTCCCTCTAACTCCTGGAAGCTACTGATCTTTTCACTGTCTCCAAAGTTTTGCCTTTCCCAGAATGTGGTAGAGTTGTAATCATACAGTCCATAGCCTTTTCAGACTGGCTTGTCTCTTTTCAGATAGCCCTTTTCAAACTGGCTTTTCTTCTCAGCAATATGCATTTAAGGTTCCTGAACATCTTTTCATGGGTTGATGGCCAATTTCTTTTTAGCGCTGAATAATATTCCAGTGTCTCAATATACCAATTTATTTTTTCATTTACCTACTGAAGAACATCTTGGCTGCTTCTAAGTTCTGGCAATTATGAAACATCTGTGGGCAGTTTTTTTTTTAACTCATTTGGATAAATATCAAGGAGGGTAATTGCTGGGTGATATTTTAAGCGTATGCTTTGTTTCATATAAAGTGGCAAACTGTCTCCTAAACTGTCTGTACCATTTTGCATTTCCATCAGCAATGAATGAGAATTCCTGTTGCTCTACACCTACTCTAGTATCCGATGTGGTTCATCTCTTAGGTGTGCCGTGGTATCTCATTTTTGTTTCAATTTGCGATTCTCTAATGACATATGATGTTGAGCATCTTTTCATATGCTTATTTGCCATCTGGATATCTTCTTGGATGAGATTTCCATTCTGATCATTTTTAATTGGATTGTTCATTTTCTTATTATTGGGTTTTAGAGAGAGTCTTCTAAAAATGTATGTTAGACCATGTTACTATTCTTCTCAAAAGAAAAATAATAATTCACCTTTACTCTTCACCAGGAACTCTTGTAAGTGCTATTCACATGGCATTCCATCTGTCTTAAGATGTATTCTTTTCTTTTCACATTTTAACATTGCTTAAATTGTGATGTATCTCATTACCGCTGGCCAAGCCGTGGCCATGAAGTAACTGTCATTGCATAAGCATGCACATCAAAACTTGTCAAAGGTTTCAGTGTCATGGAAAAAAAAATCTCAGAGATAATAGTAGAACATTCTTTTAGACATGTCGCATTACCAAGGGTCTTACTGGAAGCAAGAAGGATACTGTTAGAAAAACACAAACACAGACAACTCTGAATGAAAGGGGTAAAACGCATAAAATTTACTAATTTTTAGAAACACTTTAATCAATTAAAAATTTTTAGTTGAGACATTGAATGGTGACGTCCTAGGATGGTGACAAAACCATAAACAGATCAAGCTTCACAAAGGCTGACACCCAGCATTGAATCATTTCAATACATGTTTATATCTAGTTGATCTGCCCTTACTGTCTCACTGGCAGAGCAAAAAATAGACACCCTCTGGGGAAAGATATCATTCACAGTCTTTCCCATTTTTACACACAATCTCCAGAATACAATAAAAATCACCAGGCAAAATAGAAGAAAGAAAGAAATGACAGAAAACTTACAGAGGCTATAGATATCAGAGTTATCAAACAAGGACATTAAAATCATGTGATAAGTATGTTCAAAAAATAGAATAAAAGGTATATACTATCACCTGAGAAATGAATGAAATAGACATTCTGGAACTGGGAAAAAAAGCAGTAATAAATCATAAACCTTACAGATGAGAACACAGAATAAACACAGAAGAAGAAATAAAGAGCTGAGAGTTAGGTAAGTACAAAATATTTAGACCAGCCCCCTGGTTTTCCAGCAGATGAAGCAGGCCCAGAGAGGCTGAGTTACTGTGTCAAAATCGTAGCCTAGAGCTGAACCTAGAGCAGAGTTCCAGCACCCCATGCCTCGTGCTCATTCTACTATGTCCCACATTTAACAACATTTTCTCACCACTTGAGGGCCCAGAAAGTCTGACCTCTACAGAGTGGCATCCCCAGAGGAATGCTGGGTAGCCATAGGGGAGAGGGCAGAAGACAGAGAAGTTTTGGCAGGGCCTTCTGAATACTTAGGAGGTAGGAAAAGTACCAAAGAACATATGCAGGATGTACTTGCTGCTCCCTGGGAGGCCACATCCTGATTAAAGTGTGCCAGCTATCTCAGAGGCCTGCATCTTCCCCATCCATTGCAACCAGTGAAAAATGGATGCCCTCAGTTAGGAAATCCACTAATGATTTACATGTGCCTTGAAGGAAAGGAGCCACTTGCTGGAGCTCATCTGCAACCTCCTGATTCTTAGGGAGAAGTAGTTTAACTCAGGAATATAAGTGATGTGTTAACTCTAAAATGTACCTATCAAATAGGCCAGGTGGCTCCTACCCAGGTGTGGTGTCGCTGGGCCTCCCAAGGGATGTTTAGCAATGTCTGAAGACATTTTTATATTGGCTGGGGTTGGGGGTGCTACTGCCATTTAATGGATAGAGGTCAGAGATGCTGCTGTACAATTCTACAGTGCACAGGATAGCATCCCCCCACCACTGCCAACAACAACAACAAAATTATCTGGTCCAAAATCTATGTAGTGCCAAGGTTGAGAAATACTGACATAGACCAATCGCAGAAAGAAGAAAAATGGTAACAATGAAGAGAGAATAAGAGGCATATGGGACACAGTTAAAAGGTCTAAAATGTGGATAATTGGAGTACCATAAAGAGATGACATAAAGAATGGAAGGAAGTAATGATATTCAAAGGGGCACAGGCTAAGAATATTCTAGAACTCATAGATGTCCTCAAGCCACTCACTCAATAGAGTCTTGAAACTCCATGCATGTTACCTGTCACATCACAATAACACTACTAAATATCAAAACCAAAGAGAATTCCTTTAAAGTGTTTTGAAGAAAAAAAAAATATATATATGATACCCTACTTTCAAAGGAATAAAAGACTGACATTAAACACTTCAACAGAATCTCTGGAAGTCAGGTGTTAGTATTTTGGCATCTTTACAAAAGCTATCAACTTAGAATTTTATACCTACTGAAAATATCCTTTAAAAATGAAGGCAAAATAAAAATATGTTCACATTAAAAAAAATCTACAAGAATTTGAACCTGGATTAAAGGAGCATAAAATGTGTTCTTGAGGCAGAAGGCAAATGATTCCAGAGAGAAAAACAGAAGCTCAGGAAAGAATAAAGATCACAGTAGAGAGTAAAGATGTGGATAGGCCCCAAAGAACATCCAGTTATAACAATGTCTTGTGAAGTGTATATATAAAACCAAGTTGCACAGCAACAATAGCAAAAAGATAGACTAAGCTGCCTTAGCTTGGGCTGCCATAACAAAACACCATAAACTGAGTGGCTTAAACAATAGCTGTCCTTACAGTTTGGAGGCTGGAAGTCTGAGATCACAGTCGCAGCCCAATTAGGTTCTTGGTAAGAACTCTTCCTGGCTTTCATAAGGCTGCCTTCTTGTTGTATCCTCATATGGGAGAGAGAGAGGGAGGGAGAGGGAGAGAAAGATAGAGAGACAGAGAGAGAGAGAGAGGAGGAGGAGAGAGGAAACAGGCTCTCTGGTCTCCTCTCATAAAGACACTAACCCCATCATGGGGGCTCCACCCTCATGACTTCATCTAAACCTAATTACCTCCCAAGGGCCCCACCTCCTAATACCATAACACTGGGACTTAGGGCTTCAACATACAAATTTTGGGAGGACACAAACATTCAGCCCATAATAGAGATTAAATGGAGTTCAAGTGTGATTG